AACTATCAATAATGTCAATCATAATGCTTTGTAGGCTGTCCTCAATCATCTAATTATTTTAAGAACATGATGGTTAACTATAAATATGTATGACAATGTGTATTCTCTCTATTCCCCATAAATTTTTAATTATTCATAATACCTCTAATGAAAAGATTTATCAGTCAAATACTTCTTATAAGGATGCCAAAATTTACTTTCAACAATCAAATTCATTGGGCACAAACATGTCAATCTTTTTAACTCCTATAAATACTTTGAAAGCGTCCAAATTAAGGCGAACATTTTTTCTTATGAATAATGATGTAATTTTTTTTTTGAATTGTGTCTACATCCAAGTTCAAACACGTCCGATAATGGAGTGGCCCCACATCATATCTTCTCATGGTTATATAAATTTATGGAGCCACTTTTTTAAATAAAGTAAAAAAAAAACAAACAATTCATGATCTCACCCCATTAGCTTTCAACCAAGATGTTAACGAGGGGTACTTCAAGCCACCTCTAATGCTACAATTTCATAAATTCTTAAGGAAGCTTGATCAACACTTCTTCATCAGACGCACCACCACTACTTAGAGGGCTATTTTTTTTTAAAAAAAATGCATAATATTAGGAAAGAATAAATAAAAATCAATCAAACACTTCATTAAAAAATAAAATACAATAAAATAAAAACAGACACAGTTACATGATCGCCAGAATTCTTTCCACTAATAGACGTTGAAAGTTTTAGGCTGCTTCTTAAGACGCCCAATTAACAATGTGGAAGATCTGCTGGAGGAGGCAGTATGGACTCATTCGGCCCATTTCCATCATCCACGACAAATGCCATCTTCAGCCCCCAAGTCGTGTGCACCTCAAAATGACAGTGCAAGAACCACACCCCTGCAAAATTTCCACATATCATAAATCAGGTTGGTGTACACATCTATAAACTCTAATATATAAATGGCCGATCTAACAACATGTTAAGATGGTCAAATGCCCAAGTCCTAACTTACAAATTCAGTATTATATATGCTATTTATGCTTAATAATTGTTTACTGAAAAAATTAGATGATTTATACTTATCTCACGTGATTTTCACTTGAGTACATATATGAGACCTAACTTTTGATATTTAATTATGTAATATTTAGTTCCTTAATCATTACAAAATATTAATAAGAATTAATACTAATGATTTTTTTTTTTTATGTGAAATAAAAATCTCAATGTTAACTCTGCATTTAACTCTCCACCTTACCACAATAATTTAGCAAGCATATGAGATTGATGTACCTGGGTTATCGGCTCTGAATCTTAGCACCGCCCACCCGCCCGACGGAACTCCAACAGTATTCCTCTCAATAGGATCAACTAGATTAAACGCAGATGGCGAGGCCTTAGGGTTATAGTTCCCAACTCCCATCCCCACCACGAAAAAATTGAACCCGTGTAGATGTATGGGATGGCTCTCAGGCGCAATAATCCCTGTATCCTGCAACACAAGCTGCACCGTCGAATTATACCTAAGTCTGTAAAGTCTGGTCCCCGTCAATGTCCTCAAATTTCTCGGACCCGTTCCCGTGTAATTAAACGCCAATGGTGGCTTCCCGGGGAAATCTGTCGTAAACACTCTAGATAAATTGAAGAAATGTGCTTGTAACAATGAAGAAGTCGACGGCATAACAAAACTAATATTGTTGATCGCAGCCACCACGCGGCTCCCATTGATGCATGTGGCGCAAGGGTTTACCCCTAATCCAATAGTGAAGAGGAGTGAGTGATCGATCTCCAGGGGCACATTGACAGGAAATTCTCTTGAATTGAGGCTACGGAGAGAGTTGGAGAAACTAGTGGCTATCGGAGTTGCGTT